TCCCGAGCACATTTCAAAGGAATCCGTTACAATATTATGACAACTAACAATGCAGAATCTTTGACCTCGTTATTCAAGAATGCTCGGGAGTTTCCAGTACTTGCTATGGTTGAACAAATAAGAAAAACTTTACAGAAATGGTTTTATGAGAGACACATTGAGGCGGAAGAATGTGCAAGTACTCTAACCCCGCCCATTGAGGATAAAATGCGTAAAAAGTATAATGATGCAAAGGGACTAATAGTGGTACCAATAAATGAGTATGAGCTGCACGTCGGTGTTGAGAATGAAATGCATACCGTGAACTTGGAGGCAAGAACCTGTAGTTGTAGGGAATTTGATTTGGAAAAGCTTCCTTGCAAACATGCACTTGCAGCAGCGAAATTTAAGGGAATATCTTGTTACAGTTTGTGCTCACCTTATTATACCAGTGCTAGTTGGAAACAAGCATATGCTGAATGTATATATCTAGTGGCAAATGAGGCTGACTGGGAAATCTCCAATCAGCCAAAGGTGTTACCACCCCTTTCGAATCGAAGACAAAGTGGACGTCCAAAAAACCGTCAAATTCCATCAAGAGGAGAGGGAAAAAAGACTCGTAAATGTAGTAGGTGTGGCCAGAGGGGCCATAATCGTCTGACTTGCAAAAATGCTCTACACTAGTTGACAGATGCATAGAACATTTTTTGTTTAACATAATCTTGAAATTATAAAAGATTATGATAATTTTTGATATATTGTGATAGTTGTTTGACAAAGTATGATAGCTACTTCAGACAGATTTTTGATAAATATGACAGCATCACAATTTGTTCAGACCAAAATGGCATCAGGTCGTTTTAAATGTATGGGTGTTATGTCTACTCATTTCGTGTCATTTTTGTTCATTCACGTTTGTTACGGACGGATGGATGTTAATCATTTATTTAATCTTTACATTGTGATATATTTTGATCAATTATAATAGATTTGTAAGTCAGATTCTGATAAAAATGACGGCAGCACTGTTTGTTTAGCCAAAACGGCAGCCGGGCGTTTCAAACTTATGGGCGACGTTTCTACTCATTTCGTGTCCATTTGGTGCAATGACGCTCGTAAGCACTTGAAAATTGAAGGACGAAAGTTCGAATTACATTTTGCCTTTATGATCGATGCATTTGTCCGAACTATAGTGAGTTTCTCTATAGTTTCACCGACTACACTACACTCCGCTTGACAATGAAGATCAACCCAAGGGGAAAGTGTGGTATGAAAATCATAGTACGTGGAGTCGTTCAACGTGTCCCGGATGTATATCATGTCCCAAACATCGTTGCGCTACTTTCGAAGTGAAACCGGTACCTCCGGACCCATAACAACAGCTGGGCGTTTCAAACTTATGGGCGACGTTTCTACTCATTTCGTGTCCATTTGGTGCAATGACGCTCGTAAGCACTTGAAAATTGAAGGACGAAGATTCGAATTACATTTTGCCTTTACGATCGACGCATTTGTCCGAACTATAGTGAGTTTGTCTATAGTCCCACCGACTACACTACACTCCGCTTGACAATGAAGAACAACCTAAGGGGAAAGTGTGGTATGCAAATCATAGCACGTGTAGATGTTCAACGTGTCCCGGACATGTATCATGTCCTAAACATCATTCCGCTACTTTCGGAGTGAAACCAGTGCCTCTGGACCCAAAATGGCAGCTGGGCATTTCAAACGTATGGACGACGTTTCTACTCATTTCGTGTCCATTTGGTGCAATGAAACTCATAAGCACTTGAAAATTGAACGACGAAGGTTCGAATTACATTTCGTCGTTACGATCGACGCATTTGTCCGAACTATAGTGAGTTTCTCTATAGTCCCACCGACTACACTCCGCTTGACAATGAAGAACGACCTAAGGGGAAAGTGTGGCAAGCAAATCATAGCACATGTAGCCGTTCAACGTGTCCCGGATGTGTATCATGTCCTAAACATCGTTCCGCTACTTTCGAAGTGAAACCGGTACCTCTGGACCCAAAACGGCAGTTGGGCGTTTCAAACGTATGGGCGACGTTTCTACTCATTTCGTGTCCATTTGGTGCAATGAAGCTCGTAAGCACTTGAAAATTGAACGACGAAGGTTCGAATTACATTTCGTCGTTACGATCGACGCATTTGTCCGAACTATAGTGAGTTTCTCTATAGTCCCACCGACTACACTACACAACACTCCGCTTGATAATGAAGAACGACCTAAGGGGAAAGTGTGATATGCAAATCGTAGCATGTGTAGATGTTCAACGTGTCCCGAACGTGTATCATGTCCCAAACATCGTTGCGCTACTTTCGAAGTGAAATCGGTACCTCCGGACCCAAAACGGCAGCTGGGCGTTTCAAACGTATGGGCGACGTTTCTACTCATTTCGTGTCCATTTGGTGCAATGAAGCTCGTAAGCACTTGAAAATTGAACGACAAAGGTTCGAATTACATTTCGTCGTTACGATCGATGCATTTGTCCGAACTATAGTGAGTTTCTCTATAGTCCCACCGACTACACTATACTACACTCCGCTTGACAATGAAGAACGACCTAAGGGGAAAGTGTGGCAAGCAAATCATAGCACATGTAGACGTTCAACGTGTCGAGTACACAAAATCAACATCCATAAATTTCATAGGAAGATTGATGAAGATCCAAAACTGACTAGACAAAAATCAGCATCCATGCACATGTTTTCCAACTACATCATTTCAAAACTACCATGTAGACAAAAATAGCATCAGAGTTCTCAATCTTCCAACCACATAAATGTATCATGTCCTAAACATCGTTCCGCTACTTTCATAGTGAAACCGGTACCTCTGGACCCAAAATGGCAGCTGAGCGTTTCAAATGTATGGGCGACGTTTCTACTCATTTCGTGTCCATTTGGTGCAATGAAACTCGTAAGCACTTGAAAATTGAAGGACGAAGGTTCGAATTACATTTCGTCGTTACGATCAACGCATTTGTCCGAACTATAGTGAGTTTCTCTATAGTCCCACCGACTACACTACACTACACTTCGCTTGACAATGAAGAACGACCTAAGGGAAAAGTGTGATATGCAAATCATAGCATGTGTAGACGTTCAACGTGTCCCGAACGTGTATCATGTCCCGAACGTGAAATCGATACCTCCGGACCCAAAACGGCAGCTGGGCGTTTCAAACGTATGGTTGTAGTTTAGGGTTTAGGGTTTAGGGTATGGGGCTTAGGGTATAGGGTTTAAACCTATACTACAATTTTTCGACGTACAGTGTTTTTAAGATATTTCAACACTAATTCACTAGTTTTGGAATGAATTCGAGACTCCTTGACCCAAAACGACATATTGACGTTTTACTCTAATGGGTGCCATTTAAGGTATACGGTATACAAAAAATCACGTGTATTCATTCAGTACATGCGATCCTGTTACAAGTATGACTGCGATTTAGGGCACACAAATCATAGCACATTTTGGTGCACTTTAAGAGAACACTTTAGTCCTATGACCCAAATGGCATGTTGTCGTTTTAAACGCAGAACTGCCGTTTTTCATATAATAGTCTATTTTTCAACACCATATAGATAAAGTTATGACAAACTGCATCTTCCTTTCAACCATGTCTGCTTCAATATTTGAATGAAACATCCTATAATGAAAATAATATAATTTATAAAAAATATTGATCAACATCCAAAAAATCAACATCCAAAGAAACTAGACAAATCTAATTGATCAGCATCCAAATATGAGTACACAAAATCAACATCCATAAATTTCATAGGAAGATTGATGAAGATCCAAAACTGACTAGACAAAAATCAGCATCCATGCACATGTTTTCCAACTACATCATTTCAAAACTACCATGTAGACAAAAATAGCATCAGAGTTCTCAATCTTCCAACCACATAAACGTGCAAAATATACCAAAAAAACAATTATGGATCGAAATGCATAGCAAAAA